TTGTTTAAAAAAAAATTGCATGACAATTCTACAGTCTATCCTTCCTCTTTTAGAGAGGGGAGTTTGGATGGTAACCCTGGACTTGCAGGACGTCTATTTCCATGTGTCTATCCATCCGTCCCACAGGATGTTCCTTTGTTTTGCGGTCGGCAATGACCACTTTCAGTACAAAGCCCTCCCCTTCAGGCTCTCTACTGCACCTTGCATTTTCACCAAGGTAATGGTGGTCATTGTGGCTCACCTTCGGCTGCAGGGCGTATAAATTTTCCCATACATCGATGATTGGTTGTTGATTGTGGAAACCGAGACAACCTTGCTTGAACACATTACCTTAACCCTCAACATCCTATCAACCCTGGGATTGTAGGTAAATCTAAAGAAGTCAGTGCTCACCCCCTCCACTTGGGTGCAATTCATTGACGCAATTCTAGACTCGATACTCTGCAGGGCTTTCCTGCCCTCCAAAAGGGCAGAGGACATCGTCACTCTCATTGGCCTCCTCAGAAGACAATGGATGGCTTCAGCAAAGCAAATACAACATTTATTGGGGCTCATGGCCGCAACTACGTCGGTCCTGGTCTTTGCCAGACTTTGAATGAGACCACTCCAACTTTGGTTTATTCAAAAATTCCACCCCCAGTACCAAACTCAGTCCCTACGCTTCACTCTTCCAGGACATGTCCTAACCTCTCTCCTTTGGTGGGAAGACAGGCAGAATCTACTGGAGGGAGCTCCATTACACCGTCCGGACCCAGTAGTCACCCTGACCACGGACGCATCTCTCTGGGGCTGGGGAGCACATCTTCAAGGCCTGTGTGGGGCACAGTGGGACCCTCAAGTGACACACCACCGCATCAACTTTCTGGAGTTACTAGCCAATTAGTATGCGCTAAGATCCTTCCGCCACCTAGTGACCCCCCAGGCACTCTGTTATCTCAACCGTCAGGGTGGGATGGTGTCCAGGAGTCTCTGTCGGCTAGCCACGGAAATTTGGAATGAGTGCAAGTCATGGGGCACGTTTCTAGTAGCGGCCCATCTACCAGGAACCCTCAATGTGCTGGCGGATTTCCTGAGCAGAGGAGGTGCATCATGGCACAAGCGGGAGATCAATTGGTCCCTGATTTTCCAGAAGTGGAGCCATCCAGATGTCGATGCATTTGCAATGCGTGAAAACAAGAAGTGTCGCCTGTTTTGCTCCAGAGCAGGAGGCGATCTGCTCTCTCTCAGGGATGGTCTCCTTTATCCGTGGACTCACAGATACCTGTTCCTTTTCCCGCCCTTTTCCCTACTCACCAAGGTAGTAGCCAAAGTATTATGGGAAAGACCGCATTGCATCCTCATAACTCCTTGGTGGCCCAGACAGCACTGGTTCCCCACTCTCCTGCACATCTCCTAGGGCTCCTTTCTCCATTTTCCACTGGCGCCGGATCTCCTTCTGGCACAGGACAGGCAGGTGCTGCATCACAACGTGCCACATCTGAAACTGACGGCATGGAGGATTCTTTGGCAGCACTCAGAGACCGAATAGACTTTGTGCTCTCTAATTGTCGTAAGCCTTCTACTAGGGCTTCTTACGCTGAGAAGTGGAAGACCTTCCTGTCTTATCTACATCTGTTGGGGCTACCCCCTCCCCCTCACTGATCTAGTTACAGTGTTTGGGGTTTTGTTATCATGTTTGGATTTGGGCCTCAGTTTTTCTTCATTGCGGGTGTACTTGGCAGCCATCTCAGCTAATCACCCTGAGGTGGGCAGACATTCTGTCTTCTCGCACCCGAGGACCAAGCGGTTCTTGAAAGGGCTCAGGCACTTGTTTCCCCCATCCCAGGGCCCTTTGCCAGCTTGGGATCTCCCCCTGGTACTTACCAAGTTGATGGGCAGACCTTTTGAGCCCATGGCTACCTGTAACTTAAAACTCCTCTCCTGGAAGACTGCCTTCCTGGTAGTGATTACCTCGGCCAGGAGGGTGAGTGAATTTTCAGTGCTCAGGTGATGGTGTTACCTTGGCCCCAGATGTCTCCTTTCTGCCCAAGGTAGTTTCGGAGTTCCATCTCCGAGCGGACATTGTTCTCCCTGTGTTCTTCCCAACCTCTCAGAGTGATGAGGAACGTCATCTTCACTCCCTAGACGTCAAGAGGGCTTTTCTCTTCTACTTGGACAGAACACGGATGTTCAGAAAGACCCGAGCTCTGTTTGTCCCTCATGCGTTACCTTCACAGGGGAAGAAGTTATCCACTCAGCGTCTATCCAGATGGATCATGGAGATGATCAAACTTGGCTGTCTGCTAACTAAGAAGCCGCTGCCGGGTCTGCTACAAGCACATTCCATCCAAGCAATTGCGACATCCACGGCCTTCGTGCGAGGTGCGTCACTTGGTGACATCTGCAATGCGGCGACCTGGGCTACTCCTCACATGTTTGTGAAGCACTACGCCCTAGACGTTCATCTTCATCAGCGTATGATGGTGGGATGGGCTGTGTTGCAGGCGGTGCATGTCTAGGACCTTCAGCACCCTCCTCCAGGTAGGTGATTATTGCTTTCTAGTCTCCCAGAGACCATGAAGAAGATAAACAGGTTGCTTACCTGTAACTGATGATCTTCGAGGGGTCATCTGTGCATTCACATCACCCGCCCTCCTTCCTCTCTGCTTTTGGTCCTTTCCTTTTACTTTGTGACTGAGGGCAGCAGTCAGAAGGAACTGGTGGGATGGTTGTGCCCCTCCCCTAGTCATGTGTACTGAGCCCAGCATGTGATGGGGGAGTGGGTGCGAAAATCCCTTTAGCTTTCTACAATACTGATCAGAGTCGGCGCAGGTGCACTATATCCCAGGGTGTGAATGCACAGATGACCACTCGAAGATCATCAGGTACAGGTAAGCAACCTGTTTTTTTCTAAGGTGATCATTGTGACAAGCAGCACTCCCAGTTCACATCCATGATGCAGTGGAAAGGAGAGAGAAACTTAATCCAAAGGATACTATTCCCCTATCGCAAATTACCAGCTACTCTGGGAGCACATGCATGCAGGTATAATGGTGTAGCTCCACAGGAGGGGCCTGTAGATATGTTCTGCTTCTTGCAGGTTGGGGTGGGGAACATAAAGGTCACAGGAAAAGAAGGAGTCCGAGAGAAGCTCCCAGAATGAATCTCATTCATTAAGAATAAAACATTCACACATCTAGAGCAATACAGCACTCCCCCCCACCCCCAATGTCTATGCATGCTGAGTTGCCTTTTATACTTTGATTTTATGGGTTGTTTTTCACCAGTTTTCATGAGCAATCTACTCAAAGCATTCATTAGATCTATATTCCTATTGGATTCTTTGACATTTTTAGTGTTTTATAAAAGAACAGGTTGATACATAACATTCAAAAGGATCCACAACTGTTTTCTCATTTTTTTTTAAAAAAAATACATTGTTTTTTTCCCCTATTATACAATAGATTTCAAATTTCATTAAAAAAATAGAAAGTACAGGCTATTTTCCATGATGGAAATAAAAGTAAAATAAGAATAGGTTATTGAGCAGGCTAATGTCTTCCATTATTGTATTTAATTCCACTCTGTGGAAAGCAACACACCATTATGCAGAATTTCTCTTATTTTCGCAGAACCTCAGTGGGAGACAATCTGCCTCTGTAATAATCTCATTTGTACTTTTGTGTGTGTATGTGTGAGTGTATTAGAATAAGTTTTTATTTGAAATGCCAACTATTAGTGCAAGCTCCCAGTTTTTGTTGCCACTGCGCAAAAGGTGTGGAACTCACACTTGCTTTGATTTAACAAGAGAGAGAAGCATGAATAAGCAGTGCTTTGTGCACATCTTCCTCCATATTGCCTGCCGAATGGCGGGGAGGTCGGGATATAAATGTAAATATAAATAAAATAAATAAATATTGAAATGTTCCCTATTCACTGGCTAGATGCATCTTTTGAGGTAAAAACAAACAGGCATGAAGTGGTCCACAGAACCGGTTGCCCATGACTATGATTGGACTGAGGCCCAAACATTTTTCCTACTGATTCTGTGAGGGCAGGATTTCACTTCAGCTAAGTACAGTGAAATTTCTACCTTAGGACTCTATTCTTGTTTGGAAAGCACTCTGCTGACTGCTTGTTGGTTTCCAAGTCCAATGCAAGGAGCTGGTTATCATCAATAATAATCTTTCATGGCTTTTGGAGCCAAATATCTACAAGCATCCCTCTCTTGATGCACTCCACTGTGATTGTCCTGCTCTGTGGATTAAGGTTCCTTATAGGTTCCATCTTGTCAACTGGTTATGCAGATGTTCATTCCATAGCTTTGGTGGAAGGGCCTTCCTGAGGTTGTCAGGAAGACCCCCACATTGCACAGAGGCTGTGCAAACCCAGTTGTTCAGACGGACATGTAGGTGAACTTGGACTTCAGGGGAGGGGCTGAGGCTCAGTGTCTGAGCATCTGTGTGGCATGCAGAAGAGTTCAAATTCAATCCTCAGCATCTCCAGCTAAAGGATCAGGCGGCAGGTGAGATGATAGCCCTTTAGCCTGAGACCCTGGAGAGCTGTATCCAGCCTCGGTAGAGACCAGTGGGTGATTCCGTACAAGGCAGCTTCATGTGTTCATGTGACTTTCTGATGTTCTGGCTCTTAGCAGCTAAGAGGAGACATAGCAACACATGTTTGCTTATTTCTGTTTTGTTGTGGTTTTAAGTAACCCGACTTGAGTCCTTTTTAGAAAAGAGCTGGGCTTAAATGTCACAGTAAATAAAGATAGTTGCAGAGGGTTGTTGTGTTGGTCTGCAGTAGAACAGCTAGTTTCTTTTTTCTTTTTTTGGAGTGTGTGTGTGTGTGCCTGGAAGTCATGGTTGACGTCCGGCGACCCCTAGTGGGGCTTGGACTTTCAGAAAGATGGCTTGCTATTGCCTGCCTCTGTGTCACAGCCCTTGTATTCCTTAGAGGTCTCTCTTCCAAGTACTTGTCATGGTCAGCCGTGCTTAGCTTCCAAGATCTGATGAGATCAGGCTTGCCTGGGCTATCCAAGGCAGGACAAACAGCTAGTTTCAAATTCAGCAGCACCTTACAGACCAACCAGATGTTTGTTTTAGTATCTGACGAAGGGAGCTTTGACTTCTAAAAACTTATGCCAGGGCTCTTTTTGTAGCAGGTACTTATTTGCATATTAAGCGACACACCCCTAATGTAGCCAATCCTCCAAGAGCTTACAGTAGCTCCTGTAAGAATAGCTCTGTAAGCTCTTGGAGGATTGGCTACATTAGGGGTGTGTGGCCTAATATGCAAAGGAGTACCTGCTACAACCGCCCCCCTAATTCTGGGACTCTAAGATGCTACTAAGATTCAAATCTAACAACAAATAAATAAATGCTTGCACAGCAGGGGGGGGGAATGTCTTGGTCTGATTTGATTTGATTTTTTACCATTTTGCTGTGGCTCCCACCCAAATCATTCTACATCATCAATATGTGGATCTTTTGATCAAGGTGCTAGCTTGGGTCACATCAGTTCTTCTCACTCATGTTTGATGAGTTCTCACACAGTATACCTACATGATCCAAACATCCACGTATCATGAATGAGACGTGGGAACCGGAAAAGCAGTTTTGCTGCTGCAGATGACATCGCAAATGTCACACGAGCTGGGCCTGACCAGGGGCTGCTTCACACGTACATACATCAGTTAATGACTTGCACATGTAAATAGGACACTAGAGATATTAACTTTACATAAAGGGGTTGTCAAATACAACAAGTAGGATAAGCATACATTTAATTCTGAGGATTGCCCTTCTCTGGACACTCAGCACAAAATTAGGTATCTTTTCCTCCAAGGTTTCCACAGATTTCAGGGCATTTGGGTCATCTCTCTCTCTTTGAGTGAGGGGCATTGACCAGCCCCCCCCCTGTCCCTTTGAGTCCTCTGACACATGCAGAGAACTCTGGAGTGGGAGTGGCAGCAGTCATTCCCTTTTCACCACATTTGAAGAAACTCACAAGCAGTATGAGTCTGTCTTGCTTCCCCAGTAATAAAAGCATATCAAATATAAATACACATGATGGGTCAACACTTTCCAACTGAAGACCAAACGCGTTTCGGCCTCAAAGGGCCTTTCTCAGTGGTCACGCAGGGCTCTTTTTGTAGCAGGAACTCCTTTGCATATTAGGCCACACACCCCTAATATAGCCAATCCTCCAAGAGCTTACAGAGCTCTTCTTACAGGAGCTACTGTAAGCTCTTGGAGGATTGGCTACATTAGGGGTGTGTCGCTTAATATGCAAAGGAGTACCTGCTACAAAAAGAGCCCGGCGGGGACACACATGCAAACATATGTATACAAGATCTTTAGTACACTTATATAAAGACCAGATGTTGTATCCTGAAATTATAAAAATAGAGGGTGGGGGAGAGGGGACAAGAAACTCAAATTATTATTACAAATGCATACCAAATCCTTATTAATTTCAACAACTGATTTTTTTCAAACTAGAATTACCTTATATGTTTGCAATTGTGTTGCTGGTATTAATGATGGGCCATAGGTATAGCCATATTCATTCCAACTATTCTAAATAAAAACCATGAAATGAAATAGTAAAATTATTATATTAGTAGTTCCAATTATATACTTAAAGTAGCCTAATGGCCATAAAAAATTAAATTGACCAACAAACCTGGTAACTGAACTCTTCACCATATTTGAAGAAACTCACAAGCAGTATTTGCTTCCCCAGTGCCTGGCATGAAGTAATTAGCATTGCTTACCTCCTTAAGATTTGCCTTGAGAGGCCACAGGATGGATGCTGTCAATTAAATATATGAAGCAGTGAGGTTGGCAACAAAGAAATGGTTAACAGTTCAGAAAGGATAGCAGAATCCCAACGGTGCATAGGCAGAATACAAGAGCCTGAGCAACTCCTGAGACGATCCAACGAATAGGAACGCAGTACTGGAATGCCAGGGAAAGGAAAGCCTCTGTACACATTCAAATAAGCTGTCATCACACCATCTCAAGATGTCTAACACTCCAGTCCTAAGCATTTTGTGTTGGCACAAAGTCATTGTAACATGTATAACTAGCATAGTGTTGTTTGACATTGTGCTGGCATAGCAGCTGGTAATTATCTCGTGTGGTAGCATGGCAACGTTTGAGGCACATTTGAGGCAACATTTGAGGCACACCTGCACATAGAACGTAGGGGAATGGGCAATGAACTTTCAATCTCTGCAATCCAGAGGGTTTCAACCTGCAGGTGAGGCTAGTTCCCCACCTCTCTGAAGTGCGGACAGATAGAGTTGTCGACCTGCAGGTGGGGTGTGGAGTTTTCCAGGCATCCTACGAACCACAGAGACCAGTTCCCCTGGAGGAAATGGCAACTTCAGAGGCAGATTTGATGGTATCACATCCCTGCTAAACTCTCTCCTCTCCCCGTACTCAGCCTTCCTCAGGCACCTCCCCCAAACCCCCAGGAATTTATCGAGCTGTAATTTCCTCTGACTTGCTGCTTGGCTTCATATAGTAAGGCTGTAATTTCCTCTGACTTGCTGCTTGGCATCATATAGTATGTCACTAGAAAAGACAATCATGTTAAGAAAAGTTGAAGGCAACAAGAAAAGAAGAAGACCTAATATGAGATGGATTGACTCAGTCAAGGAAGCCACGAGGGCCCTCAGTTTGCAAGACCTGAGCAAGGCTGTTAATGATGGGACAGTTTTGGAGGTCATTAATTCATAGGGTCACCATCGGTCGGAAGTGACTTGATGGCACTTAACACACATACACACACATCACACAGTATGCGGTTGTGCCTGGACTCTGCTTTCTGTTTCCATTTCTCGATATTGTCTTTAAAGTTCTAATTGCCTAGGGGCAGCCTGCCATTCAGCCTATATGCTGACACAGCAACACTGCTGTCACACTGAAGAATGCTTAGCCCATGTTCCTTGATCTGGGAAAATAATGTGTGCAGGAACATTAACATCCTTGCTGACTCACAGATTCGAGGAAGGCTGCCATCCTATAGAACCAGGGGGATTCTTGCCTGACCTGCTCTAGCTATCTGGCCTTAGCTGACAGTGGCAGCACAGAAATGCCTTGCTTGCACCTGCTGGTGGACAGGCAGGCAGGGATAGAGGTTTCAGCCTAGTCTGATTTCTTCCCCTAATTCCAGTGAGAAGGATGCAAAGGCTTTGCTTCCACACTGTGGGGACAGTATTAGTGGGGGAAGAGGTGGGGAAAGCAGGCATGTCCCTGTGGGGACTGCCTAAAAGTTAGAAAACTCTCTCATGTGTTCCATTGTTCCCCATTACAGCCATCACAGTGAGCAGCCTGCCTGTTATGCAGAGTGGAGAATTCCACCCTACCAAAAGCATGCAGAGATGGCCAGAAGAGATACAACCATGGAAAGGGCCATGACTGAGTGGCAGACCATTTGCTTGGCATGCCAAAGGTCCCAGGTTCAATCTTCGGCATCTCCAGTTAAAAGTATCAATAATACTTTCCAATAATACTGAGTGGCAGACCATTTGCTTGGCATGCCAAAGGTCCCAGGTTCAATCTTCGGCATCTCCAGTTAAAAGTATTAATAATACTTTCCATTTATTAATCACTTTCCCCAGTGGGCTCAAAGCGATGTACAGTTACTCAATATAGACAAGGGACTAACAATGTTTGTAGGGGATAGGGAAGACAACATATATTCATTTTTAATTGCACGCGCCATCACTGCCCGGTATAGACGTCTTCTGTCTTGGCTCCGTCGTTTTCCGCACGGCTGAGTGTTGGCCAGGCTTCAGGACCCGTATGTCAATTGCCACACTGCCACCGCCTGGCCAGAACATCCATTGCAGGGATTCTTTCGTGGCCGAGAAGCTATTTCGCCTTCCAAGCCTCGACCACGACGTCCGACCATCAGCTAACACCCTCCCACAAGGGAGATTGGCGTGCCCACCCTCTCTAAGGAGTGGTTCCCATTTTATCTACCTGCTGAAGCTTTCGAATTGCTGGGTGGACGATGAGCTGGGGACAACAGGCTGGCTGCTCACACCAGTGCGGGGCTTGAACTAACACAGTTCAGATGTTAAAACAGTGAGATATACCCACTGTGCCACCACTCCCCTACTCTGTCTGAGACCCTGGAGAGCTGTTGCCAGTCAGGGAAGACAATACTGGCTGTGACCAATGGTCTGACTCAGTATAAGGCAGCTTCATGGGTTTATGTGACAAAGGGCCAGATTTTGCTATGTAAGAAACACTCTTGATTGAGAATCTGATATTCCCTGGTTAGAAAGCAGCCCTTTGGGACTTAATTACCCACATCCGCCAATTTCTGTGTAAAAAGGTTTTGTTATTGTTTGGGTTTGTTTTGTTTTTTTGCAAAAGTAAAGTGTGTGTTGGTGAAGGAAACTAAAAGTCCAGACATTCCTGAACCTTATTTTTCTGTGCTTCATTGTTTGCATGCAGTTGCCTCCAAGGAAGCTTGCTAAAGAGGCACAGAAAGGCTAACATTTCTAACCTTTCACAGCATTTTTATGTGAAAATGATTTACTGTGGAGATGTTATCTAAATTCAATACCCAAACGGAAACATACCATTATGACATTAAAGAATCCGAGAAAAATGATTCACAAACCAAATGAACTGAATCCAAACCTGAATAATATTGGCCAAGCGCATCCCCTAATGAGACTAGAAATGGGATGCAACTTCTGCACCAGCTAAAATTATTTTACTTTCTGTGCCGTATCGCTCCTGCTGTCACAAGAAAAGCATGCTGTTATTCTGCTCCCTGCCACCATGAAGCACCAGAAGAAAGAATTACAGGTCCCAGGAGATGATTGGAAGGCCTGTGATGGTAGAACATTTGCTGAAGCTCAGCAGTTGTGGGCCTGGATGGAATATCTCCCTGGGGGCTATCGGGGGGAACAGATGACATGTAGGTAGTAGGGTTGCCAGTTCTGGGTTGGGAAGTACCTGGAAATATTGGGGATGGAGCCTGGGGAGGGTGGAGTTTTGGGATGG